ACTTCGACAAGAACAAATGCTATTCTGATGTTGCATAGTCTGGGCTATAAGGTAGGTGGATTAGGACTTCCAATCCGGTACCATCGAGATAAGTTTTGACTACTTATGCGACATGCGGCCGAGCATTGTTATGGTGGAAGCTCAACAACGACTCATATCTGGTTGCCCATTGCTGCCATTTTTCCGCAATCACTCCCTTCAATCGTATCAGTTGTTGTCCGTAAGGAGCCCCGTCGATGGTCTGACCACTTTTAAGAAGCGAATGATATGGAATTCCCTAGTGGTTCCACCAAATAACTTAACTTACGTCTTCTGGCTCTTTTGACTATCGTAATGTATCCAATTTTTATCGCCGATGATAGTGAAATGCAAAAACGACTAGACTTTGTCTTGTTGAAGGAGCATTTGGGAAACAGCAACACGCCGCTCAATATATACTGGCAACCAGTTTCCAACTTTCTGAACTATACCACTGGCTTTTTATCGCAAATATTCCAGAAAGCTTTTTTTGGGTTTGGCACGGGTCTTCGTCCAAGATGGCCTTCAATTCTGCGTTTACAAAAATTGATGGCCTTCCTTCCCTCTCCTTGTCGGTTGTCGGTGCCACTTTTGAAACGTCGAAACCAGTACTAAAAGATTGAAATTGATGGAGCATGCTTTCCGTAAGCCTCATACAGAAGACGATGACTTTCTGCTCCAATTTTCTTAAGATGGAAGTAAAATACCAGCGCTTCCCGTGAATGGAGTTTAGCAGGTATAAAAGTTGACATAGTTGTCGCCCGAAAAAATACACTACTGGTGCCCTCAATACTATTTTCAATAATAACATCGCTAGGTTTCAGCAACCAGAGCCAACTCTCGAAATATTGGGTTAAATTGAGTCCATAACCCTTGTCGCTTCGTGATGTAACGAAGGTCTTGTGTTTACTACTAAGAATTTTCTAAAGCCAATTTGGGCTTCGTTTAAATTCCATCAAGGTTTTAATTTTCATGGAATAGAGTTAATCGAGTTCCATAAAGCAGTATGTATCTGTTCGAGCCCCAAAGTGCGCATGAGCTCTCATTACGGAATAAACTCCATCATGTAAACCTACTAAGTAGGCCATCTGAAAAATTGTCGTGAATATCCGGCCATAATTTCCTAGCAATTTTGTAGAAGGGATCTGCATGCCGCAGTTTCTTTAAAATTAAGGAAACTATCGGACTTATTAAAAGTTTACAGCTATTTCTCGGCCTTCTCATTAAGATATCGACGTCATCTCCATGCCGCATTAGATGTAAGCGACGTTTTTTCAGAAAATTTGGCACATGCGTGGCCATCAGTTCGGCCTAGAATGTATTGGAGTATAATTGTTCTTGTATTCTTAGAGCTCCACGAATTCTTTAAGCCTCAGAATAAACGCTTTCATTTAAAAATTCCTCCAAACAACCCACTGTCATTGTGTGAAGACTTTTCTTCTGCTGGGCCATTTGCCAAGAAAATATACGAAATTTGCGCATTTTGCATATGTTAGACGGCCAAAAGCACAGCTCAATAGACACACACTCAGCACGTATGCAAAATAGAGTGAGCCTCATAAGGACTGTACACAAACAAACATCTGAGTATAAAAGATCTTTTGCACATATGCGCCAGCAAATGATGATACACAAGTAACAAAAAAAAAACACTCCACAACAAAACAAACAAAGCATCACAAAGAAGCGTAGTGATGGAAACGAATGCGGAAAAGGGGCAGGAAAGCCAAAGAAAGTGCCAAGGAATAATAGAAACTGTTTACATTTTGCATTTACGTATGCATTTTATGCAGCGGCTACACACTTACATATATGAAAGGACACCCGCCAGGCAAGCAAATGAGACCAAACAGCGCTCGCTCGGTCGGTCGGTTTGGGTAAGCGCTCGAGTACACAACGCAAAAGGCAATTTATCATAAATATTTGTCAAGGCTGGCGGGCAACATAAAAGACAAAATAAAGCAATACAAAATTAAACAAAAGCAGTGTATGTATGTATGTGTGCAGGGGAGTGGCGTGGAGTGGAGTATCCTGATGACCGCAGTGGGTGGCAGCTGAGAATTAAGTTGCAGTGCTCACTCGCAAAAATCACTGACTTGGCCATTGGCAGCATACATAGTTATTTTACGGCTCAGCGCACAAGCTGCAGTCTTACGAGTATTTATTTATTTTTTATTTTTTTGCCCCTAAAATCACCACATTGTTTCGTTGTGCGTTTATAGGATGGTATGAACGAGGCGAGGCAAGCCAAAAAAAAAAAAGAATTGTTGACGGCGCTTGATTGGATTGGGTTGGCGACCAGTCGCGCATAATGATGCATGCCCTCAATGCGCTCGGCTGACAAATGCACTCCTCAAACAAACACACACACACATACATATACAAGAAATTATCATATAAATAAAGCGGGAGCAAAAAAAATGGAGAAAATATCAGCAAATGTAATAATTTGTGGCTAACAAGCTGTGAAGTAATGAAAAAGTGCCAAATTTTAGCGTTCAAAATTGCAAAAAAAAAATAAAATTTAACTATAGAGGCGGATCCTTTGGCGTGAAGAGATTTGTTTTTAAAAAGAAGTATTTGTTAGACGCGTATTAAGTAAACGTAAATCCATTCAAGTAAAGGATTAGTTTTACTAGCTCATCAATAATGATCAGTTAAATTAAACTGTCACTGACAGGCAGTGGCACACTTAGGGATAAAGCGGAAAATTTCCCGTGATACCACTCTTTATAACACAATTCTGAAATATGTACGGTCCCTAGTACCACCTCACATATGCAGGTCCTCAAAGAACAGCGACCCAAAGTGACGAAACTTCCTACGAAACTGTCCGCTCCGGTTATAGAAAAGTAAGCAATCTCCTTGAGGGATCGACGAAAGTTAAGCGCTTTGAGTTGATCGTGACAGCTCTAACTGCAGCTCGACTTTTACCCCTCGGAAGGTTGACTTTATCAGCGTTGAAATGGCTACTCTTCACTACTATTTTGTGCATAATGAAATAGATCCGGTTTGAATTTAATGGGGGAAATAAGAGGAATAGCTTCTTTACATTCAGTTTTACATTCTTAACCAGCACCGACGGGGGTTTGATAGAGCCCAAGCATAACCCTCTATAAGATCGGAGTTGAAATCGACTTGGTTGGCCATAGCGGGTTTGGACAGCGCCTCCGCTCGGCTAAAGGTTGGAAATGGTAGGCCTCATGTGGGTGTACTCTCACTCTTCCTGTGAAAGAGATGGCTGTGAGCGTAAAACTTATCTTCAGAGAAAATTTTCTAGACACTCTGACCAGTCACAAACGGGTTTGATAGTTGCGAACATTCTATAAATTCTCATAAGACCAGCTTCACTCTATTGATACTGTTATACTTATGCTTGCTGCGAGGGTAAGGTACTTGGGCGGGATCCTGGATTGAAAGCTATCACGGAAACCAAGATGAAGTGCATGAAAAAGTGCTACCCTTGTGGGAATTGGTGGGACACTCTGGACTTATTCTATTAAAATTTCTGCTCTGGGTTGGACTCATAGACATTTCATGCTAATAAGACCACCACAGGCTGCTTCGCGAACACGCGGAGGAGTAGATGTAGCTAGTTCTTTCAAGCGTATCTTTGGAATAAAGAGATCAGTGCGTAACACTGTCGGCTCAGAATGAATCCTTTTGTAAGGAGTTAATCATAAAGTTCGTAGGCGAAGGAGGTGAGACGAATGTACGAATCGAGCAGACTTGAAAGCAAGACTTAAAGTGTCTAAAAGGGGTCTTACGTTAATGTGGCAGTCAACCAAAAATACCAACTCACTTAGACCCTGTCGGTCCATTTTAATACCACTGTGAGACACAGAAACCTCATTGACTATGTTTCATAGAACCATTTTGAAGCTCTTATGAAGCTTAGGATTGATTTTGTTCCTACACCGGACAGTTCCATGAGAGAACTAAAATAGTGTTTACCTAAAAAGCCTGCCCTGCTCTTTGCTAAAGCTGATCAACTGCAGAAGAAATGTTCGGCTGTGACTTCTTCTTCCTCAGCTCGGGAACTTCTACATTATGCATGGGAGAATACTCACAATCTCAGATAGTGCCATCAAATATCCGATGTCCGGCTACACAGGCCATGAGCTTCGAAATGCCCTCTCTTGGGAGGCTGGGGGTTGTTCTCTTTCTTGGTCAGCTCATTGGCTCTGCAATTTCATGAAATATTTCTATGCCCCAAATGGGACTGGCCTTGAATACGGTACTAATGTCATTTAGGGCTGTCACGTATTACTGTGCAACCTTTGATTTTAGCATTCACTGATTTAATGGCCGCCTGGTCATCCGGTAAAATACTGACCGTTGTATTCGTTACGGTCCCGAATTCGTACGGATAATTCGAATCCTAATTCTTCAAAGAAAACTCCCTAATCAACCCTATTGTCTAGCTAGGTTTTATCCATGGCCTTGGTGTTTTTTACTCTCTTCTTGGCGGAATTTTCTCTTGAAGAGCGTGCCAGAGGTTGGTTCAGGGGCGGAGTAGTCAATTTCCTGATCATAATTATCCAGTGTGTGAAGTATATTAACGCGGCCAACACGCTGTTGCTTCCATACTTTTACTGAGCGCCGAAGCGGCGGTCACGTGTTTTCCTTCGAGTTTTACAGCAGGCAGATTTGTTATCGCTTCTATCGCTTCGTTTGAGGTAGTCCTTAAAGCGCCAGAGATGCATAGAAAAGCTGTTCTTTGGACCTTACTCAATGGTTTTAGGTAACTTGCCTTTTGAGTTGCCGGCCGCCATACAAGTATTCCATATAGAGAAGATGACGATTTACTATCTTCTCAGCAGTTTCTTCTTAGTTGCCGTTATTGCTCTAGGCTAGTTTTGCTAATAATGCCATTTGCTTTTTTATTGAACCACACAAATAACGCCTAAGTGTGGCGCGTGGTCTAACTTAACCTAACTTAGGCCGTTATATATGCCTCTAAGTCCTAGATGAGTATATTTAAATTCAATATATTTAGGTTCGTAATAATTTTCGTCGCGTTTTTATTGTCTTTCGCCTATTGAAAGTTTTGCTGACTGTCTGTTAGCGGCTAGCTTCCGACAAAAAGTAGCTGTTAATTATAGCAAATAAGAGCTTTTATCAAAAAATATGTATACACATACGTATCTTAATGTCTTCAAAAATAACTTAAGTATATTTCTTTTTGTTCTTCGTGTAATCTTAAACAACTTTTCATGTAATTAAATTTAAATCTTTAAAATCCCTCGAACAATCGAGTTATTAGTCCCCCATTATTTTTCGAAAAAAGTACCTAAATTTATGTACTATACATCTATAAAGCCGCATCTTTGCAAACTAAGGTAAATAATTCCATATCAACCATATCGCTATTCCCACACCGAGCACCAAATCCATTGGCAGTGAGAATTTTCCCCGCATCGCCGCCTCCACACGTTCGATTTCAATAATTTTTCGCGCGCAGCGTATCCACTGCGTCACCGCGCTCGCTTCCTGCGCTGTGAATTCGTACTCTTCCTTGGCACCGCCAGCCGCACTCGCTGCACCGCTACCGCGCAGTAACACCGTTATGCTCTTACTACCATTCAATTGCAGCTCCAGTGTTGGCCAAGCGTAATGATGACGATAGGCAAGTCGTCGCTTGCGCGCCTCTGTGCAGATGAGGCAGCGATCGAAGAGGAACACCTTGGCGGTGTATTTCTTGCGCGAACGATGATGATACGCCTCAAATTCGGTGGCCCGACGGAAGTAGCCCTGCGCGGGTAGGTTGAGCTGTGGATGCGTAGGAATTAGTTAAGAAGGGATTAGATATTATATTTTTTATTTTGTAAATAAATTCAACTCACCTCTGCTAGCTCGTCTATGGCTGCCACTTCTTCAGCCTGATTGACCACTTCGAGTAGGCGTCGCATGCGTGTCTCCAACTTGCACACAGACGCCAGTACTGGCTTGCAGCTAATGCCGCTTTTGTAGAATTCCTGTTGTAGAAAGAGAGAAAAAGATGATTTAAATATTTAGTGACCATAGTTTGAAAAGAATTAATATTTTATTGGGAAGTACTTACAGATATAAATTGCTGCAATAACAACGGATATCTGGTCAGTCTTTGCACGGGCTGCACAAGAAAGCTGTCAATGCCCAATTTGTCGTTAATTTGATTTTGGACATTCTAAAAAAGACAAAAAGTAAGAACAATTTTGGAGGATTTAATTATTTGACAAATTTTAAATTTTTATATACTAGGGCTAGATAATACACTGTAGCATAAGCACATCGCCCTTTTTACTTTAATTGTCATGTGCACATAAGTAATGTATAAACAAATAGGAATGTACACAAACAACAGTTTACCCAAATCAGTT